AAACAAACTCAAAACTATTTTATTTTTCACATTTATATCAGCAATTCATTTGGAAATGATTTTTGTATATGGTGTGAGGTAAGATTAAGATACCTTTTCTCTCCTCACAGATACCAAACTGACCAACACCATTTCTTTGACCTTCCTTTCCCCATTGTACTATGTCTCTTTTATCATAAAGCAAGTGACAGTCTACATATCAGTCTTTTTCTGAACTATTTTTGTTTCACTGCTGCTAATACTATACTATCTTAATCTTTTTTTCATACTTTTGAAAGTATTACTGCTAGGTATTTGGTGGTGTAAGTCCCACAGATTTTGTTCTTTCATCTTTTTGACTGCCTTGGCTTGATCTGGCATTTGAATCTGCATTTCAGTTGTGCATCCTTTGATGATTACTGAGCATTTTTCCTCATATAAGCTAGCCAGTTCAAGTTCTTTGGACATGAGGTAGTTTGCCTTTTTCATACTGATTTGATCTTTCTGTATTAGGAAAGCTGTCTTTTACCTGTTAAATCCCACCTATTTTTAAAAAAAAGTATTAAAAAGTATCAATTTTATTTTCCCCTCCTGGTTTTTGGTTTCATGCTTAGAAAAGTCTTCTCCATACCAAGATGGCAGTACAATGTTGGCAAGATAAGTAGCAGAGGTATTCACCTCTTTATAAATTTTTAAAAATGCTTTACATTTTTATAATTTGTAAATTACCTTAAAAACAATTTGTTTCAAAGCTGGGCACACTGGTACATGACTGTAATCCCAGCAACTCGGGAAGCTGAGGCAGGACAGCAAATTCAAAGCCAGCCTCAATGACTTAGAAAAACCCTGTCCCAAAAAATTAAAAAGGCTGGGATGTAGATAAGTGGTTAAATGCCCCTGGGTTCAATCCTGGTACAAAAAAAAAAAAAAAAAAAAAAAAACTTTCAAGAAGACATTTCAGCCATTTCCCACTGTAAAATATACTGACCCAATAATTTATTCTAACACTTCCAAGATTTCAATAGCCATATTTATTTATTTATTTATTTATTGAGAGAGAGAGAATTTTAATATTTATTTTTCAGTTTTCGGCAGACACAACATCTTTCTTTGTATGTGGTGCTGGGGATCGAACCCGGGCCACACGCATGCCAGGCAAGCGCGCTATGGCTTGAGCCACATCCCCAGCCCTCAGTAGCCATATTTAAATCTTTCAATTCATGTGGAATTCATTTTGGTACATAGTATGATACCTCCAAATTTGTGACAATCATTTTTTGCAAACTTACCTCTATACCCTGGTTGTTAACTCTTTCCTTCTGTTCTCAGAGAAAAGATGTATTTCTTTCCCCAATGTCAATTTAAGACTAATTCCTTAATTTATGAATGATGAAAGAGGAAAGACCAAAAAGCTCCAAGACTCATTATTTAATGCTTCTGCTCCTTAATCTATTTTCTGCCTAACTAGTATATTCAATCTCTCTTTATCTCTCTCCCTTCCCTTCTTCAGGAGCAGTCAACATTCCTATTTCTTGACTTTCTATTCACTGCACAGCCTTCTCTACTAGTATTTTGCTACTATGCCTTCATCTGAAACTACTGACCAAAATTAATATAGTGACATTGGAATACACCAATCAAGAACATAGGGAGGGGTTGGGGTAGCTTAGTGGTAGAGCACTTGCCTAGCATGTGTGAGGCACTGGGTTTGATCCTCAGCACCATGTAAACATAAATAACGGTATTGTGTCCATCTACAACTAAAAATATTTTCAGGGCTGGGGTTGTGGCTCAGTGGTAGAGCACTAGCCTAGCATGTGTGAGGCCCTGGGTTCGATCCTCAGCACCACATAAAAATAAATAAAAAAATAAAGGTACAATACCTTTGTGTCCAACTACAACCAAAAAATAAATATTAAAAAATGTATTTTTAAAAAAATATTGGGGGGGGGGGGCTGGAGTTGTGGCTAAGTGGTAGAGTGCCTGCCTAGCATGCAAGAGGCACTGCATGTTCGATCCTCAGCACCACATAAATGTAAAATAAAGATATTGTGTCCACCTAAAACTTAAGAATACAATATTAAAAAAAAAAAATAGGGGGATTGGAATTGTGGGTCTGTGGTGGAGCGCTTGCCTTGCACAAATGAGGTACTTGGCTTGATTTTGAGCACCACATAAAATAAATAAAATAAAGGTACTGTGTCCATCTACAACTAAAAAAAAACAAAACACCACACACACACAGGGATATTCCCCCTCAGAGGGAAATTTTAAAAAATATTTTTTAATTTATCAATGGACCTTTATTTCATTTATTTATATGTGGTTCTGAGAATTGAACCCAGTGCCTCACACATGCAGCCAAGCGTTTTACCACTGAGCCACAACCCCAGACCTGAACATATGGAAATTTTTTATTCCAAAAATAGTACGGTATTTTGTCTATGACTATGCCTACTGATGGAACTAGGGATTATAGAAGAGATCTGATTTTTAATTTGGCTCTTAAGTGGAGAAAACTGTAAACAATTCATTTTCTAAAACTTCTACAAGTTAGGAAGGGAATGAGTATCTATATTTATGTGTGGACTTAAAGTGCTTAAAAAATGTTTTATGTGTGAGTACAGTATTTAAATATCCTTCTTATATCTCCATTAAAGAATGGAATCCTCAGCTGGGAATAGTGGTGCAGGCCTGTAATCCCAGTGACTTGGAAGGTTAAGGCATCAAGTTAGAGGTCAGCCTCGGCAAATTAGTGAGGCCCTAAGCAACTCAGTGAGACCCTGACTCAAAATTTTAAAAAATAATAATAGTAAAAAAAGAATGGAATACTGATTGACTTTCTCTGTATTTCTATAGGTGTTCATAAAAAAATTAGTTCTATAATATCTTCCATTAAAATAAACTACTACCTGAAGATACAAATTCTTTCCAAGCAAAAAAGCAAAGTACTCAGAAACTAAACCCTAGATTTGAGAACTTGACTCAATCACTTAACTTTCTCACCTATAAAACAGGGTCATACTCTACTTCACACAGTTTAATTGTGAGGCTAAGACAATATAGGTCAAAACACTTAACACAGTTCCAGGCACATATCAAATACCTTCCTTCACTTTAGCACAGTACCATATTCACAATAATATACAACCAGTAAGGAGTAAAGTGTGACTGGCATGGAAGTGCACGCCTGTAATCCCAGGGACTCGCCTGTAATCGTATAGCAACTTCAAGGCCAATTTAGGCAATTTAGCAAAACCCTGTCTAAAAAAATACAAAGGACTGTAGAGGATAGTGGTAAAGCACCCTGCGTTCAATCCCCAGTTGTTTTTTTTTTTTTAAAGGAGTAAAAGCGTACCAAAAAGAAGCAATTTCAAAACTTTGTGAACTATGTGAGACAGAAAATGTGGCAAAGCACCATCTGTTCATACCAGCTAATAATAATCTTCAAAGGAAAACCTTCAATTAAAAGTAAAAGTTACTAAAAATGCCCAAATATTTTGAAGAAATTCAAATAGCAAAAATAAATTCCCAGTGATTTCCTCTAAAAAGTGTACCAGATTACACATGATTTAATAAAATGGACAGAGACAGCACTCACAAAACTGCAGTTGTCCAGTTTGAGAAAGATCTAATTTGTCCTTGGGGAGGAATATACCTTAAATGAACAGAATTTCCTTACCTACATACAAAAGTAAACCAATGTATCAAGGAATTTGAAAGGAGGGAAGTTTTCCTCTAAATCCAAAGACAATAATATGCATAGCCAAAATTAATCTTCTCCAAATAATGGGGGGGACACATTTTAATTGTTAAAATTAGGACAAAGAAACTGGATTTAGCAGAATGCAGTATGCCAGCTGCTAATCCTGAAAAAATATTCCGAGGGTGGAGAAAGAAGGCAATCTTCCCAATAAAACTTCCATAACACACCATACAGATACATGAACATACACATCTGTTAAATATCAGTTTACACTGTTCCAGCCAATTTACAAATCAAGAAGAAGTATAATCAAGAAGAAGTAAGATTTTATTTTTTTAAGATTTAAAAAAATAAATCCTATTCTACTTCTAGTTACATTTTGCGAGGCAGCTACTGGTGACTAGGGGTTATCCATGCTGATTCAAGGCAAGCACTGAATAATAAATCCAGTGTTCACGTTCAAATGTGGAGGGGCAGAGGAAAAGGGAGGCTCCGAGTTCATAAAGTTCTCCTCCCTCTGAAAACACTGCAAAAATTGTCTAAGAACACTTACCCTTGCAACTCCTTGGAGACTTTTTGTTCAGAGATTTTTGAGGGGGAGCGACATAGGAATGCTGCACGATTGCAACTTTCAAATACATAATTTAAATTTCTAAAGTTTTTTTTTCTTTCAGGAAATTTCATCCCTTCCTTTTTAAAGAGTGGATCAACACTCTCATATTAATAAAATCCCCAATTCAACACCAAATGTCAACCAAAAATTTCGGAACTTTAAAGTACATGCAAATAAAGCACACAGACTATTTCCAATACCCAACTCCCTTCCAATTGGGATCAAAAAGAAGAAAGGAGGCAACGCGAGGCGGGGGGGGGGGGGGGGGGGGGGATACTTGGGAAAGAAGGGCAATGGGGTGAGAAAGTGGAAGGGATGGGGAGGAGCAGAGCAAAAACTCCAGCTGATGCTGATACTTAACTGAAAGAACAGAATGGAAAATATAGAAGAGGAGGATGGGACAGAGGCGCAACAGAGGAAGTCCACGCAAAAGGCCTACTCCAGGGGGCCACAGTGTAGAAGGGAACACCAAAATGGGGTAACATTCATTAGGAAGAAATATCAAGACCCTAAAGTTTAGGAGAGAGAGGATAAGAAGAGAGGGTGTTTCCTGTATTGGAATCGCGGATACCGCACCAGACGTCTCGGCGGCTAGCCCGCTACGAGGGGTGAGGGGTTAACTGCGGGGGTTCGCAGACGTGGAAGGGGGTGCGGCTCCAGAGGTTGCGGCAGGAGAGCCCGGAGCAAGCCAGCGGTCCGTACCTTATAGTAAACATCGAACTGGATGTTCTCGGGCAAGGAGCGGATGTCTCGGCGGGAGCGGATGTAGTTGTCCACGACAGCGGAGATGGCGGTGTTGTACAGAGTCTCTGGGATCCACTCTAGTTCCACGGCCGCCATCTTCCTTCCCTCCTCCTCCGCCTCCTCCGCCTCCTCCTCCCGAAGGCCCCCGCCTCCCTCCGTAGCGAACTCCTCTGCGGCCCCGGAGGATTCGGAGGGGCGGTGGCAGCCACGCGGGCACACGGTAGAAGGGCACGGCAGCCCTGGCTCCTAGGGGGCGAGCTGCAGGGAAGCGGCAGCAGACGCAGGCGCGGGTAGAGAGCGGGACAGGGAGCAGCAGACAACCGAGGCGAAGCCTCACATTCCGGGTTTGAGAGGAACCCGGGTTCCGTCCCAGCGCCGATCTCTGCAGGGGCGGGACTGCGTGTGCGGCGTCATGACGTCAGCGCACGCCGATGCGCTGGAGGGAAGGAATGCGGCAGGCGGAAAACTTGGGAAGAAAGAGCAACGTCTCTCCCACACACATCCTACTTTTTGAGGGGCCTGGGATGAGGGTAGATGCGAGACTCTGCCCAGGGATAAGCTATTACAAGTTTTTAACCCTCCATTCTGAATCACTCGAGTCCTTCAGCAAAATTCTGTATCGGGTTGCTTGGACGCGGATCCTTTTGAGTTTCAGGTAAAAGTTTGGATCCTCTCCCTAGAAAAGTACACAGTAATCCATACGTTGAAAATTATGCATTCAGGGAATTCACAAATCGAAATCCTTCCTTAGCCAAAGTCCTAAACCCAAGTTAAGAAACCGCTGTCCAGGAACTAGAGGTTATGAGGGAAGGGATTGCTTTTGATTGTATGACCTATTCTCCCCGTTGGAACTTTTATCACTCTTCTTAATCCAAATAAAATTTACAAAAATAAAAAAAGAATAGGAGTCGCTCTAGAAGAATTAGGTAGAAAGATTAGCCTGATTATGGCTGACACAAAGACGACTGTAGTGGTAAGATTTTTAAAAAGGCTCTTTCTTGTCAATGAGAGGACTTAATGATAGAAATTAATATTTCAATCTTCTTCCAGGATTAACAGTCCGACTTTAAAGGATTATCGAATAAATGGGTGTCCTTGTTTCAGCTGCTTTCCTTCCTCCGCCTGAAAGTCTGCTATAAATGTAGTTTAATTTTAAAAGTCTGATTTGAAGAACTTGCAACATCTTTCTGTTGTAGGAATTTAACAAGGAAATTATTGCCATTGCAGTGGATGACACTATCTCATAGTCACTCTATAACAATGTAAATACTGAAGACACCAACAATAATAACCTGATATTTAGCTGTAAAGGAAATGGAAGGAGTTCTTTAAATTTACCCTTCACCCAGGTATTTCAGTTAATAACAGTGGTTAGATAACTTAGTGAAAGAAAGAAATATGCCATGCCATAGCACAGGCCTGTAATCCCAGCTACTCTGGAGACTAAAGCTGGAAGATTACAATTTGGAGGCCAGCCTGGGCAGTTTAATGAGAGACCCTGTCTCAAAAAAGATGGGGGGGGTGGGTTGGCCACGGGAAAGCGGCATATAACTCAGTGGTATGTAGCACCCCTGGGTCCAATCCCCAGTACCAAAAAAAAAAAAAAAAAAAAAAAGAAGGAAAGAAACACATTTAGTCTTCAGTCTATACTAGTTCTTACTTTATAATCCTAATTTTATAAACCTAAAAAAGATGGTTGGCAAATGTAGCAAGAAAAAAAATTATAAATACCAAATTACATTTTAATTTCAGATAAACAAGTAGTTTTTAAATATAAATGTTTCCATTATGTTAAGCCAAATAAGCCAAAATTAGAAGGTTGAGGGGCTTAAATTTTCTCATATGTGGAAGCTAGAGAAGGAAAAGAAAGGTGTGAGGGGATGTAGCTCAGTGGTAAAAGTGCTTGCCTATCATGCTGTGGGCTCTGGGCTCAAAAAAGAGAGAGAGAGACATTGTGAACAATGGGCCTCTTAATCCTTTCTTCACTGCTTTGAGACTGAGAATTACTAAAATGTGTGAGATGGACTTAGAGACACTGGACAAGATGAGACAGACCAGCCAAAATGATGAGGCCACTGAGAAACAATTTACCGTGAGGGTTAAATGAGTCAGGACTATTAGACTGGCATCTATACAGAGGGTCAAGGGTCAAAGGGGAGAATTGACTCCTGAATTAGAATCCATATGGAGGCTTAGACCCTTGAGAACTGATGAAATGAGAAACCAGTAGAAATTAGGCCATTTTTATTGTATGGAAGAAAGGTTGTCCTTTGCACTCCAGAAAATTAGGTCTTCCAGAGCTCAGATTTGAACTCAGTCATTATACTGTGCTGTTGTTCATATTTTGAACTACAGCATAGAATCTGAGTTTCTAGTGGTCAGGACCAGATCAAAAAAGAACTTATCTGGGAATGGAGCCACCATTTGACCCAGCTATTCCCCTTCTTGGTCTATTCCCTAAAGACCTAAAAAGAGCATGCTACAGGGACACTGCTACATCGATGTTCATAGCAGCACAGTTCACAATAGCAAGACTGTGGAACCAACCTAGATGCCCTTCAATAGACGAATGGATAAAAAAAATGTGGCATTTATACACAATGGAGTATTACTCTGCATTAAAAAATGACAAAATCATAGAATTTACAGGGAAATGGATGGCATTAGAGCAGATTATGCTAAGTGAAGTTAGCCAATCCCTAAAAAACAAATGCCAAATGTCTTCTTTGATATAAGGAGAGTAACTAAGATCAGAGTAGGACGAAGAGCAGGAGAAGAAGATTAACATTTAACAGGGATGAGAGGTGGGAGGGAAAGGGAGAGAGAAGGGAAATTGCATGGTAATGGAAGGAGACCCTCAGGGTTATACAGTGGAGGGGGTAGAGAGAGAGGAGGGGAGGAGAGGGGAGAGGTGGGGAGGGGGGAGGGTGGAGGATGGGAAAGGCAGCGGAGCACAACAGACACTAGTATGGCAATTTGTAAATCAATGGATGTGTAACTGATGTGATTCTGCAATCTGTGTATGGGGTGAAGGTGGGAGTTCATAACCCACTTGAATCAAAGTGTGGAATATGATATGTCAAGAAATTTGTAAAGTTTTGAACAACCCACAATAAAAAATTAAAAAAATAAATAAATAAATAAATTAAAAAAAAAAGAGCTTATTATGCTGCAAGTGGCCTTGGACTTTATCTTGGAGACAATATGAAAGTAAAAGTATCAGACTTGTGTGTCAGAAACATGACAAGTTAGGTGTGGTGGTTCATGCTTGTAGTCCCAGGTACTGGGGAGGCTGAGGCAGGAGGATCATTTGAACCCAGGAGTAAGGAAACACTACCTCAAAAAAAAAAAAAAAAGAAAGAAAGAAAAAGAAAAAGAAGCCAGGCATGATGGCACATGCCTATAATACAGTGGCTCAGGTGCCTGAGGCAGGAGGATTGCAGGTTCAAATCCAGCCTCAGCAACTTAGTGAGGCCCTAAGCAGCTTGTGAGATCCTGTCTCAAAATAAAATGAGGTTGGTTAAGCACCTCTGGGTTCAATCTCCAGTACCAAAAAGAAAAAAGAAAGAAAAAGGAAGGAAGATGGCAATAATCTATGACTAGCAGAGAGAACCAGAAGATTTAGAATTATGTATTCCCAGCTCCAGAAGGAAAGAATATGCAAGAGGCCTGCTAAACTGTTAAACTGTCATGGCTTTTTTTTTAATTTATTTTTCATTATTTTTTAGTTATAAATGGACACAATATCTTTATTTTGTTTACTTAAATTTATGTAGTGCTGAGGATTGAACCCAGTGCCTCACATGTGCGAGTGAGCCACAACCATCATCTGCCACTGAGCCACAACCCCAGCCCCCTGTCATGGCTTTCTATATATTTTTGTGCACAAAGGAACTTTGTGTTACGCACTTGCACCATCCACTAAATTCCTCCTGGTATCCTCAAATTTGGCAGGAGGCCTTGCATGATACAGATATATATGAGGACATGTCCCCGGTCCAAAAGGATTCCTGAGGATCATAAGAGGCTATGATACTCATTGTGACAGATTTTAAATGTCAGTTTCTTTGAAGCTGCCATCATTGAGAAATGGAACCTAAATATTTCCGCTTGAATCTGAGTGGGTTCTGACTGTATTGACCAATGGAGTGCAGCAGAAATGATGCTGCATGACTGCTGGAATTAGATGCGAATGGCCAAGAAGAGTTCACCTTGTTTTCTGAAATACTCTAATCCCTAAGGCACCATGTAAAAAATACTGAGTATCCTAAGGCCACCATCCACTGAGGCAACACAAGCCAAATGGAAGGCTACATGGAAGCATTCTGGTCCATAGTCTCAGAATCATTCTGGCCCAGCTACCAGATGTTTTGAACAAAGAACCTCTGAATAATTCCAATTCTAAGACATTTTTGTTACCCTCAGTTTTTCCAGATGAGGGCATTATGGAGCTGACACAAACATCCCTACTGTGTTCTATCTGAATTCCTGACCCACAGGGACATTATAAAATACTTGTTCATTCATCACTAAGGTTGAGGTCATTTATTATGCCATAGTAGAAAAAAGGAACACCCCAGTTATCCAGTCCCCTAAAGTTTCTAGAAACCCATAACCTGGGCTGGGGTTGTAGCTCTCTAATAGAGCACTTGCCCAGCATGTGTGAAGCACTGAGTTTGATTCCCAGCACCAGATACAAATAAATAAAGGTCCATTGACAGCTAAAAAAATATTTAAAAAAAAAGAAACCCATCACCTTAAACTCCATAATGAAACTGTTCCCTCTCAAGTCTGTATATATATATTACGAAGCATATGATTTTTTTCATGAAAATAATATAGTTCTTTGCCTGTGGTTTCTTAACTTTCCGATGGTCATTCTGTCACACTAAAAGGCTGAGCCATGGGATATCAAAATGGAGACAATGATATTTGTCTTAAATCTGAAGAGTCTTTTTCAGAGTCCTTCAAACCTAAGTCTATGTATTATATTCAATACCCACACATTAACAACCCCAGACTAACGGCCACATGGATCTCCTAAATAGGGTCTTCCAGGTGTACCTAAGACATCACAAATAATTTAAGAAAAATGATCCATGTAACTTGCAGCCAACAAAGATCAGAGCAAGTCTTTATCAACAAGCTTTGGTCATGTGGGAGAAACAATACAGAGAGGAAATCCAGCTTAATTTCAACCCTCATCCCTATATCTGCTTACAGATTCATGGACATGTTCATAGTTACTGTTCATGTTGTTTTAACTTCTTTAAATTCACCCTGCTTAGATGTGGCATTCCATAATCAAGATAGTTAAGTTACCTGATAGGTTTTTTTCTCATTGTTTGTGAAAGACCCGCCGATTCCCTGTCCAAGAAAGACGCACGAGGCACTGGC